AGCCATCACGTTGCGAAGTAGACAGATATAAAGTAAGAACAAGAACACTGCCGACAGATCGAGCTCTAAATATACCAACTCATTCAAAAAGCAAAATTCGTACCAAATTTGAATCATTTTGATAGAACTTTCCTTAAAAACCACAAGATAGGAGCCAATGCGATAGCTTGGCAGTCGGCTGTCACTAATGATTTTCTAGCATCTGAAAATCCAGAAAACCCCCGTATGTTCTGAATAACGAACGCCAACACGACTTGTCTTTCACTAGCGCGTTCAACCCCCCAAACGCCGGCAATCAATCACAAACCTGTCCAGTCAGAAATCATCCTACCCTTTCCTTCTCCCCCTAATACTCAGTAAATGTTTGTGAGATGGTACTGGAATAACTCGTGGACTGACATTGTGACTTGTGACTTATTTGTACAGTAAGGAGGTGGTAGAAATTTGGTATGAAAATTTTTCCCTCGGTAGAAAATTTTTATCATTTCAAAAAATTTAGAGTTCGACTTACTCGGCTGATGTCGTCCAAGAAGGAAAATATGTATTTCCTTGTCTCCTTGGATTTCACATGTACTCCGGACGCCTCATACTCCTCGACAGTTTTCATTCGATAGTATGTGGGTTGAACAGGACCAGACATGTCAGCCTGATATTTCTTTCATTCAATAACGTCAACAAAACATTTCTCATTTTCCAAGCGACAAACCTTCATTTCCTTGAAGAAACGATGCAATTTTGCTGCTTTCTCAAGCATTTCAGTCGGAGGTAGACCTTGTGTTTGAACAATAAACCTGCAGAAAAAAAGGTAATGGAGAAGATGTGACGTTAGAAATGGTATACAGTACCTTATTTGGTCGTATTCGCTGCTTCCAGGATATAAAGGCCATCCAAGAAAGAGTTCAGCAATTACGCATCCAAGCGACCACATGTCAATCGCTTCGCGGAATGGTAAACCCAGAATGATTTCCGGCGCCCTGAACAAAAATCATTTTCAAAGGAAAGTTCTATGGAAATTTGCTTAACTAACTAGCTTCAAAATTTATTTAGATTATCTCAAGCAAACTTTAGCTTTACCTGTAGTATCTGCTCTGAAGATATGTGTTGGTTACTGCTTTACTTCTATGACTGGCGGATCCAAAATCAATTACCTAAA